GCCTCCCCTTTTTCTTTACACCGGCCTAGGGATGCATTGTTTTCGTTGGACGTGTTTTAATTGACACAAGGTCAGCGATCGTTGCCGGCTGGCATTGTCCGCCCCACGTCGGCATCGTCACCCCTTATTAACGGAGGAGCCCGCAATTGTCGGGTATGCACGTTAGCACCGCTACCGGAGGCAGATGAATTAGTAACGGTGCGTTAATTCACCGATCTCGAGTACATCCTGTCTGTCGGGTCGTGTCCTCCACGGAACGTGAACGGCACGCGGTAATTACAATTTACGTCTAAGCTTTCCGCCGAGGGGAGGCGAGCGCCGATTGGCCGGACCTCTGCGTGACGTCAGTTTACTGCTCCGGGCCGTTGGACTCGGGCTGGCCGGACGTCCTGTCCTGAGGACGGCTGTCCGCGGTGGGAACCCGGGTCCGAGCATGGGTCCGGTGACGACCCATCCCTGGTGACGACCCGTGCCCGGTCACGACACGGTCCGGTCATGACACGGGCCCGTCACGACACGGACCCGGACACGGCCCGGGCCCGGTTACGACCCGGGTCTAGTAATGACACGGGCCCGGTCACGACCCGGTTCTGGTCACGACCCAGGTCCAGTCTCGACTGGGGCCCGGCCATGACCGGTCATGCCCGGCCGTCGGCTGTGGGAGCTCCGGTTCCGGGTCGGCGCGTCAGGCTGGGCTGCGTCAGTCGGGAGGTCTACCCCGCGGTTCTCGCCCTGCACAAGACAGAGTTTCGCCAGCCCTGCCGCAGCGGTCGCAGCACGGACACAGTGCGATGGTATGACGGACTCTGCTGGCAGCGCGAGGGTCGCAGCTAGTGCCGCATAGTGAACAGAGTTTCGCCAGCCCTGCCGCAGTGGTCACAGCGCGGACACAGTGCGACGGTATGACGGACTCTGCTGGCAGCGCGAGGGTCGCAGCTAGTCCCGCATAGTGACTTTCGGCGCTGGCTGGCTTTCGAGAAGATTTGGCCCACGCGTGAGACGGCTGCATCGTTTTGACATCAAAGGGAAGTGACTCCACATTTGTATGAGGTTTGAAAATGGGGTAGCCATTTTCAAGATCATTCGCTGCAGCTCACAATTGTGCCTTTTAAAACGTAAATTTATCTCACTTCTGAGCTAGAAACACGTGAACTTGTGAAGAGCATTTCGTGCCGCCTTTTTTGAAATCATGCTTACATTTCGGATACCATAGGAACATCACATGACTTATGCGCTGTTATTCATTATATATATAACATATACATATATTATGTATATGTTATATATATATATATATACATATATATACATATATAAGTTGGTCATGTCCAGAATATATCATCATAAACTGCGACATCAGCCAAAAGCTTCGAGATTATTTTGATATTTCGATTTCATATCAGCGTCTAGAGCTACCCCAGGCAACATCATTTTCAAATTCAAAGGTACTCCACAGTCATTTTAGGTCAGCGGCTTTCCTTGACCTTCATTAAGTCGAAACAAGAAGTCAGTTGAAGACCTCCTGATTACGAAAGTCAAGATGATTGTTAAAAACTACCCGCAAAGCGAGTTTTCCAGTGAAATTTGCTTGGCTTTGGCCTTGAGCTGATCTTCATACCTGGCACAAGGTCAAATCGATTATCTGTTATCCTTATTCTAATAGTCCAAGTGTCCACAAAATAACCGTTTTACGTGGCATCATCTAACACTTCTTCGCTGCATCAGCTTCAAGATTGCCTTGGAAGCGCCGTGGCTAACAACCAGGGCTTAGTATGGTTTTTGCCTGCCATAGGTTCAGACTTCAGAGGCATCACAAATTCAAAGATCAAGTGTTCCGTTATTTACAGATCTGCAAATATTAGTGTCATCATCCTGCATCATTGTGTGGTTGCTCCAGAAAAGCCCCAGGGTCAAACGAACTCCCCCCCCCCGAGCGCGTGCCAAAGTCCGCCTAACGAAAACCTTCTTACTGACCGATGTGATCCAAATCCAAAGACTTGCACCACGTGTTCGACTCTGTCAACGCTGACTTAATACGAGCGAGGAGATGCTCTCGACGGGCTCTGACCAGCGAGATCCAGGGGCACCACTGACTCTGTCAACACTGACTTAATACGAGCGAGGAGATGCTATCGACGGGCTCTGACCAGCGAGATCCAGGGGCACCACTGACTCTGTCAACACTGACTTAATACGAGCGAGGAGATGCTATCGACGGGCTCTGACCAGCGAGATCCAGGGGCACCACTGACAGCTGCTATCCTTGACGTCAGAGGTCTCAGGATCGGACGACTCATCTCACGGCTTACATAGACCGCACCTTCCAATCCCTCACGAACAACAGGGGCCACCAGCACCTGCACCGCCCTCCAGCCCGATCCGATCCCCTCCCAGACGCCGGGGCCGCCCGCCCGCTCCGCTGGTTCTGGGAACGGTCCGCGCGAGGTCGAGGCCGCGAGCCCACCCCGTCCCAGCGGTGCTGATCCCTTGCAACACGGCCGGTGGCCCCATGGTGTCTGATCTCATGACGCCGACACGGCTTTCTGTCGCCAAATGAACGAGGCAGAGTGCTCAGCTTTGCGTCAAAATGGTACCCGCGCGGGTCGGGTCGGCTCGAGTACGCGAGTCGGGTTGTATCGGCAGGTTGTTTAGTGTGCTCGGCAGTTGCTGACAAAACATGACGGCGCTAGTTCCGCTCCGGAAAAACCAGAACCGATTTTTTAAAATTTACCATCCGAGCGACTTTTGATATTTCCTGTTGGTGCTCATATTCGGGATTCTATAAATAGGCCGCGTTGGCCATGTGTGAGACAACCAATAACAGATGAGTTACGTTACCACCGGAAGTGGTCCATCGACCAAGCGCGTGGAAACAAAATTGCCTCTCCGAAGCAAGCTCTGTCTGGGCTTACATTATGTTTTCATCAGAACATGTCATAGTGCCTAATTAAGGCTGTTTTACAAGACATTCTCATCACGCACACTTTGCTTTCCGTAGAAGCAATTGGACGCTAACGATGTATCACATGCGCTGACTAAACACCAGTGTATATTGCTAATGTAGACAACATGATTTCTCAGAATCTCATAACATTACGTTTACCAGAGGCCGGTTGAAATGTTGACGTTACATTCATAAGTGTTGTTGAGGAGCAGTGGAGTTTACTGAAGAAGCAAAAAAGTGTTATTTAGTGAAGTAGCAACGTAAGCTTGTCAAAGGTCTTTCCACATTCTGAGACTATACTGTCGGGAAGGGGTCCCCGACTTTTGTGGTTCTTCAGAAGACCGTGTGACTTGCCTGTGCGGGATGATTTAAGTATAAAGCTCTTCAGAAATTTGTCATCTACCCTACTATTTTACGTCCCCTTAATAATCTTTTAGTCCTTGAATTTTCCACGCCTTGGACGTTTCCGAGAGAAAAATTATCGTAGGCCTCGAACGCGAGACATAGTGTTCTACCTGCAGCCGTGGAGGTCTAATGCGCCAACAGACGTAAAAGGCTCAGGAATTCCAAGTGAACAAATCTTATCTGTAAGGTCATCTACCCAGTACGCTCGATGTCTACGCCATCAATAGCAAGAAAAAGGAAAGAAAGACGGACATCTTACCTCAAGTATGCATCTTATCTGTGAGCGTCAGTACGATGGCTGCTCTGGAGAAATAACTGGACGGAATTTTCCCTTGCTTTGTTCGTGGCTGAAGATTGCCACGGCTGGGGTGACCCAAGGAGATTGACACGGCTGAGGTGACCCAAAATAAGCTGTGCAACGGGAAAATCGAGGGCTGCACGCTTGATAACCCGGCGTTCACTATCTGCAACAAAACGGCAGGCCTCCACCTTTTACGAGGGCCCTGCGCCGCGGTGGTACACGAGACTGTCGTAGCGCGCACCATCGGCCCGGACCCAGCGCGCGCGGTCACCAGGCGGTAAACAAGCGGAGCCGGCGGACGGAGGCGTAGAGGGTCCCGCGCGCCGCCGGCCTGCTTGGCATTCAGCGGGCGGCTGAGGCGGCCGGACAGATTTACATAGGAATCGCCGCAGCCGGACCGGTAATAGCGCGGTCGGGAGGGGTGACCCCGGCCGGACCACTCGGTCGGCGACCCGCCGCTTGGCGGGGGTGACCACCGGCGGGCGGGGCATGGGCAGCGGACGGGGGGGGGGGGATATTCCTGGATAGGATGAGCGGTGTGTGGGACGGAGGACACACGTGTTCATAGCAGGATGTGGAAGTGACATCACGTATGCGTATGGATGAAAGAAGGAGATGGGTTGTTGTTTTTGCTCGCTTGGTCGTTATAGTGATTGAATTGTGTATCCCAGGTTCATCCTCGAACATATCCAGACTTTTCATTCGTTGTGTGAACTGTCCAGTCAGCAAAACCTGTGGGTGCAGGTACAGCATACACCCTAACAAAAATACAAATAAGTTATTCACGCTTCGAATGCCCAGCTGATATATCGCTATGCACGGCATATTGGCTATTGCCGCGGCGCCGCGGGATCCCATTTTGACTGGACAAGAAGACGTGAGCCGGTGTAGGAGGTGTATTAGATGGGAGGTGTACACATTACAGATGGAATGATTGTTTGGACTGTCGTCTTCGTCTGGCGTAGTGGTATGTACGCAGAGAAGTTTATTTCTTCGCGGATATTTTGGTTGCGCCTCTATGGGAGTCCGCGTTTGCTCCTGCGACCGGAAATGGTCGGTGACAGGACAGCACAGCACAGACTCGCGCCTAGGCCGAGACATGCAGGTCCCCGCAGCGTCGGCTCACCAGCCTACCGCCCTGTCAACGTCGACACTTCTCCGCGTGTTCTGTCTGCGCCCCAGCCGTGTCCATGGCTGCACGACATCGCTAATGTTATCTACGGCCACAGCCAGTTGGTCGACAACTCATTGACCTCTGCAGTCTGTTCCCCTCTCACTGCGAATTTCATGGCCGTGTCCTCCGCCCACCCCGTCCCTCCGACGCCTGACGGATGCTCTTCTCCGCTGCAGGGTCGGCATCGGCGTCGTCACGTGCTTTCTGATCTGCCATGCGACGGGCGGACAGCGCTGGTCACGTGACTGGGTCGTCGGCGCAGGGGTCAGCGGAGGCCGCAGCTCGCCGATCAATCCAGTCGCCATGTGATGCGCTCGCCGTCGTCCGCGGCTCCCCGCAGCGTTCGTGAGCATTCGAGAGCGGAAGAGGCGCAAAGAAGACGAGGCAATAGCGGCGCGGGAGTGTGCCGTGAGGACTTCGTGCTGAATCGTCTCTCGAACAGCACAGCATGTCGTCCGAGGGAAAGACGGGCGCGGCCGCCGCATTCACTGTACATCTCACCATAATCCCGAGACGTGCGCGTGCTGTGCTGACGTGGGTACGATGCGCGTGCTGTGCTGACGTGGGTGCCGTTCGCGTGCTGTGCTAACGTGGGTGCCGTTCGCGTGCCGTGCTGACGTGGGCACCGTGCGCGAGCTGTGCTGACGTGGGCGCCGTGCGGGCGCTGTACCGACGTGCGTGCCGTGCGCGTGGACCGCCGGGCGACAGGCACCGGAAGAGAGACACGAACCCGCCGGCGCCGTGCGCCGCGAGATGTTACCGTGCTCACCCGGCCCCAGTGATGTGACCCGTTCACCATACCCCCCTGACAGATCGGCCGCGTGACTTAGCAGCGTATGACAGTATGCTGTGTAAAGTCACCGATCACTGGGCGACAGTGCAACGTCGAGTTCGGCGCTGCGTATCATCGTCGAATTCGGCGCTGTGTATCATCGTCGAGTTCGGCGCTGTGTATCATCGTCGAGTTCGGCGCTGCGTATCATCGCTGAGTTGGGCGGTGATAGGCCAATGCCAGCTCGCCGCTTGTCCTGCTTATTTTGAACGCAAGTGGATGATGCTGGCGTTTGTGCCGGCCATTTCGATGTCGCTCTGTTGTTATCAGTGGCGTTCTGTTGCCCCCAGGCGTCCTGGGTCGCTTCTCCCTGTTGTCAATCATGTACTGTGCATGCCACGCAATAATAAACAAGAAAAGTTGCGCGAATGTCATATGTCTCTCTTTGGATGCACAGGAAATGCGGGCTAAAACGATGTATGCAATTGGGAGAGACCGAAATGACCGGGCTTAATCCAAACGCACTCGCGGCCTTTAAAAGCGCAATTAATCAATGTAAAAGATCCTGAGCTCTTGCTCTGGTATTTTGGGGTTTGCATGCCAAAATTCAAAGACCTTTAACACGGTATACGGGCTGTTCTGCAGGCACGACCGTATGTGCGTAGCTGGGTGCGCCTCTGGCCTGACCGTGTTGTCTAACCGAGGCCGCCGGGCATGGTCACGTGACCCGGACTGCAGTCCGCGTGTCCGCGTACAGTCCGCGTACAGTCCGCTCCAGAGCGCGTGTCGGCTCGGCAACGGTGCTCACGGCCGCACCGGGCGCGGGGCCGGGCGTGGTATGTGTATGAAGCTGCCGCACATACGTCACTGGCGGCGAAGATGACGGACGCTCGTGGACGCCGCAGGGGACAGTTGTACCTCACCAAGCAGTCGACATAAAGGAAGATACCAACTCACATGTGCGAAGAGGGCACATGGGGCGTTGGCAACTTTTGATGCGGCGGAGAAGAGCCTTGCCAACTACTTGAAGCGATTCCAGATCTGCTGTTCCGAAAATGATATCCGTATGGAAGCCAGGCAAAGGGCTTATTTTGACAGCCGTTGGACAGAGAGCCTTTGGAAAAATCAAGGATTTGATCAGCACGGCCACACTGTAAGAGGCGGTTTGTGGGCAGATTAGGGCAAAAGTGCGCCGACACCCTCAGCCTCAACTTGTGGTGATCGCAGCAAGTTGCAATTTTTTCAACGTTCGCAGCGCGATGGGAATCGATTGCGTAGCACTTGACCGACTTGAAGGAAATCACTGGGAACGGAAACCTCAGAGGCTGTTTGCACGAGGTCCTGAGATATCAACTGGTATCCGCACACCAATTTAACAATTTTTGCTGTCGAAAGGAGTTGCTGTGCATGACGTCATTGGCGCTGGAGACCGTTGCTAAGCATGCACGTGTATTTGAGGCTGTATCCAAGCAGGCCGCATTATAAAGTCTGGGTGGTATGGAACTGCATGACGTCAAACGCGAAAAAAGCGGTGGTCAAAGGCAATGTTTTCGTTGTGGGAAAGCCAGGCATAATGCAACTGTATGCGGGCACGTGAAGGCTGTGCGTAACAAGCGCCAGAGGGGGTCCATTCAGTGGTCATGTGTTGTAAGAATCCAAACACTGGTGCTGATCGAATCCGGCATGACGTCACACGCACTGACCGAGGCCGGGAGCTGGCAGGACAGCATGAGAAGGGCGGTGTTCAAACAGCCAAGCAGTGGAGGAGCGGCACCGGCCGTCATCGGACTCGACTGACGAGGTAGACTACGAGGTACTTCACACGCACAAAACGCGAGAAGGTAAGCTGCCCACCGCTGTGTATCTCAATAGGGCACCAGTCGACATGGAACTGAACACCGGAGCAGAAATAACAGCTCCCCCGGAGCGCGTTTGCTGGATGTTTCAAAACGCTGAGCTCCGTAGTACGGCCAAAGCCTCGGTCAGCACCGCGGTTCTTCGCATACGGCGCACCGCTGGGGCTCATTGGTGAGCTACCATGGCAACAGTGGAGTGCAGGGGGCGAAGAGTCGAATGTAGCGTTTCAGTCATGGATGTGAAGAGCCACTATCCGCTGCTTGGTAGAGACCGGAATGTTCAAAGATCGTCTAGACTGGAATTAAATATTCCGTGGCAAAACCGTGCGAGGAAAGGACCATGCTGTGTGTGAAATATCGTTGTCTGAACTACAGAGCAAGCACCAGGAGCTGTTTTCGGAGGCATTGAGAGAGTTCAGAGTTATGGAAGCACAGGTGGAGCTGGAGTCGAGGCTACAGTCCCGTTTGCTCTGGGGGACAAGCGCACAAGAAGCTGGAGCGCCAAATCCGAGGTGAGCTGCTACTGGTGGAGCAGATTGACCGGACAGCACCACTGGTTCTTGTTTGCAAGTCAGGAGGTAGCGTAAATATGCAATCATAGAGTCACCGCAAATCGATGCGGCAGAGACCAGGCGCATTGTCTGCACACTGCCGATAAAATATTCAGCTTATTGGCTCATGGTCAATCGTTTTCCAAGCCCGACCTGGCTAGCGCCTACAAAAAACTTCCACTTGCGCCAAAACGCCAGATTCAGCTGACCATGAATAGGCCATTGAGGCTCATGAGACCAACAAGACTGTCTTTTGGGCAGAAGGCTCTTCAAATGCGTGGCAGATAACGGTGGATCAGGTTTTGAGGGGCTTGGGTGGTGTGACATGTTCCGTGGATGACATCCTAGTGACAGAAAGAACGAGGAAAGCACATGACGTATGTGGAGGCGGTCATGCAGCGGCTGCATCGCTGCGGTCGCCATCACAGGAAAGAGTTGTTCAGGGAGAAGATCGTGTACCTGGGACAAGAGAGCTCCAAGGATAGCTTCAGACCCACGAGCGACAGGGTGAGAAACATTGTGACCATACCCAGCCAAGAAACGAGAAAAACGGCTCACTTTCTTGGCTCCGATGACATACAAAGCCACATTTGTGCCAAGCCTACCGTCAGATTTGTGGCAAACCTACCGCCAGTTTTGGGATCATTATACGGACTAACAAGGGGGCAAAATTGGTCGGAGCAGCAGAATGCCACTGTATCGTGATGTTACTGGCGTGGGCCTGAGGCCGCCCCTGCTCGCGCCGGCAGTGCTGCTGTACTTCAGTACGCCGCTGCCCTGACCGGCGGTGTACTGCCTGGGGCGCCGCCTGCCAGAGTCGACGCCGCCTGCTCGCCTCGCGTGTTAGGACGGTTATCGTCTCGCAGCGCTCGTGTCTGGTCTGAATGACCGTGGTCCGATTGAAGGGAGTGCGAGCAGACAGAACGCGTAAGACTTGAATATGGCGCAACCGCATTGAACCTAGAATAAGCTTAAGCAAGCGCGAGCAGCACATTAATTTATGCAGTGTGAGTTGTGAAGCAAGTCAAGATGTCTGGATTTCGTCCTCCTGAGGAACTCGACTTCACATCGCCTGAGAGGTGGCCGGCCTGGCGTGATCGGTTCGTCCGCTACAGACTGGCGTCGGGACTACACAAAGAGGACGGTGACGTTCAAGTAGCTGCGTTGATTTACAGTATGGGTCCGCAGGCTGAGCATATCGCACCAACATTAAAGCTTACTGCTGAGCAGAATGAGGATTTTGAAGTTGTTGTCTCAAAGCTAGTCGGGTACTTCATTCCGAAAAGGAACTTAATTGCAGAGCGTCACAGCTTCGAGCTTTGATCTCAAAGCTCAAGCGAGACTAATGAATCGTACATCAAGGCTTTGTTTCCTCTAGCTGAGCACTGCAACTTTGCTGACGCTGATGAGCGTATCAGAGATCGTCTCATCTCAGAAATGTCTGACAGGGAGCTGTCCTGTAGAATTCAGCTGAAGTCACTAGAGGAGGAAGTGTCTGTAAATACCGTCATTTCGATGATGCGTAATGTCGAGATCGTGAACGGCCGTGACAGCTCTGGCCCGCCTGACATCAGTAGGATTTGTGCACCGGCGCAGCACAGGCAGCCGTGCCAGCAGCACCAGCAGTACAGACGTCAACAGCAGCCTTCCACCGCGCAACGGCAACAGCATGGTTAGCGTGCCGACTTTTCAACAGCATGCATATACTGTGGAAGAGCACGTCATGTGTCTCCGAAAGATTGTTCCGCTAAGGGAAAAATCTGTGACAGCTGTCAGAAAATGGACCATTTTGGATCTGTTTGTCGCTCCAACGGTGTCAGAGCAATTGAGCGGACAGAGTCCATTGAGCAATTATCGCCGCCCAACATTTTTGTTGGCGAAGTAGACAAGCTTGCGCGCCGTGGAGAGTTAGTCCTTCTACATGGTCAACAATTCGCTTTCAAAGTTGACTCTGGCGCTGATGTTAGCATTCTGACGCTGAAAACTTACAAGAAGCTGAAACTGCCGCCGCTTGAACATGCCTCAAATACTCTGAAAAGTGTTGGTAGCGTGCTAAAAGTAGAAGGAAAGATGCACGGAACAACAATGTTCAAGAACGAAACCGAGCCTGAAGTGTTCCACGTTGTTGACTCAGCTGATGATCTCCTCTCCAGGTCTGCTTGCTCGCGCCTGGGCGTACTGAGATTCACAGGTGAAGTCAACGAAGACGTCTTTGTAGAGGCAGGTCTCCTGAAGACAACGCCGGTCGGCATTCAGCTCCGTGAAGATGCTGTTCCAGTCGCCCTTGCCACTGCAAGAAAGAACCGCTGCCACTGATGAAGCTGGTGGAAGAGGAGCTGAAGAAGATGGAGCATCACGGCATCATCACGTGGGAGACCGAGCCAACGGACTGGGTCTCTGCGCTGGTCCCCGTCCCGAGGCCGAAGAGCAGCGGTGTCCGCATCACAGTTGACTACAAGAGACTCAACCAGTCTGTGAAGCGACAGGTTTTCCCGATCCCTACTCTGGAGCAGCTGACCTCCAAGCTGCGTGGCGCGACGCTCTTCACCAAGCTGGACGCCCCTTCCGGTTTCTACCAGATCCCGCTGGACGAGGCGAGCTCCAAGATGACCACGTTCATCACTCCGTTCGGCAGGAAGAGGTTCCTGCGACTGCCGATGGCGATCTCGCTCGCATTACGACGAAGAACGAAGCATGGAGTTTCGTAGCATGTAGATTCGACTTCGGTCATTACGACGGGGCTAGGCCGTTGAAGGTATACTGTGACACTTCGTCGCGCGGAGTGGGGCCGTGCATTGTCCACCAGTTTCCAGGGACTGCGGAGAGACCAGTGGTCTATGCTTTTCGCTCGCTCGGCGGCCGAGAAGAAATACGCTCAAATGGAACATGAATGATTGATTGAACGGCTGACGCGGCCCATGGAGACTGCAACGCCGGGTGTTCAGGCTGTTGTTGCTATGACGTGCGAGCGCGTATGTTCAAAACATATTGCATAGTTTTTTTTATCAGTAATCAATTCTGACTAAA